AAAGTGACACTTTTAAAGCGGGCCAAATAGACTAAAGATCATAAGAATCATGTACTCACCAACTTCATTCTTTAAATTCCATATAGATTATATATTTTCCAATTTCCTCAAGGCTTTAAGGATTTTAGGATTTATACTACTGACGTCATACTACTGAATTAAACTCAACATTTTGTTTAGTTGATCTATATTCTATATGTCTATATTATTCCCTTGTTAGATCAATCTTGGATTACAGATCGATAGTCCGTTATAGTAATTACTTCAGGTAGGCATCAATAAACTTGAAGACGAGTTCAATTTAGTATCGTTGACCTCGCTTGCCACTGTCAAGTCATGAGAATATTAAAAATCTGTTTACTAGAAAATAGGCGAGAGAGTGGACCAACTTTTTTTTTTATATTGAAGTCATATGAAATTTAACACATCTCGACTTTATTTTTTATATCACGAACATGAAACCAGTTTCATGATGAAACTATAAAATCAGTAAAATCATACCTATCAGTTCATGTAAGTCCTTATTGTCATATTGTTCATTTTCAGAAAAGTTAGATATCACCAAAAACTACGAAAGAAGTTTCACTTCATATAAGCGTTCAAATTAGTTAGTAAAACAGTAATATAAATATATCATACGATTTTCTCAGAATAGTTTTTAGAATTCCATAATATTTTATAATTTAAATAAACTTTAACTCGTGAACAATAYAGTAACTTACTCAATGCCACTGACGGGGTGCAAAATTAACATTTTTGAACTTTTGTTGTAAATGTGACTATATGCGAGACTTTTTTATCTTTAACATTTTGGTGAAATCAGAAATTGTGTATCGAATTTACTTTTTATCTTATTATAATAACATTGCTAGTAGGTAATAAATTAATTTTAAAAAAACGCAATGGATATACGCAAAATAATGAACTTAAAAAATGTTTAAGTATAAAACTAGGCCCRACCGACAAATTCTGAGTGCATCATTATAAAAACTTCTTAACTCATTAAAATACATAGGTTTCTGAAATAAATTTCAAAAATCAACTCGTTTGAGGACTAATCTGCATAAATGCCAGTTTTCTTCTAATAGTCTGCAAAAGATTGTGTAAAATAATACCTCATTTTTGTGGATTGCGAGGAAAGCAAGTGGCTATTTTTGTGGTGWGGGATTTCGCAATTATTTTAATTTGTGGTGGTGAAGCCGTTTAGTCGTCGATATCCACGGACTAACATACCAAGATCTTAATCTATGTCTGTATCGGAGCCGGTTGAGGTGAACGACCAGATCGATGACAATTCAGCGTAGTCATTTTAGCTAACTTACTACTTAACTCAAATGAGTGCTTATAATGATGTTTTTAAGAGCTTTTTTAAGCGCTTATTTTAATAATTTTAGGTGCTATAAGTCATCCCAATCCCTGACTATGAGCAACTAGAATAGCCCTTCTCAGATCGTTCCTGAGGAGTAGGCTGCCTGCTCTCTGTCTATTTCCTCAACGTCGTCTCTCCGACCAGCCCGCTGGTCTAGGTCTAAGTATAAGTATAAGTGGTGGCTAATAGTAATTTAGTTTTATTTTAATACTTTTTTTATGTATTGTAATGATGTGCGCTTATTATACTATTTATACTACAGTATTTATATTTATTAAAATGACACG